TCATACTTCAGACACATTGTCAAGATTGACCAGTCCCTGGAGAAGGACATCATGTTTGGTAAAGTGGAGGGTCAATGAAAAAGGGAATACACCCAACAAGGTGGACTGGCCCAGTGGTAGCAGCAGCAACGGACTTAAGTGTAACATCAATTGGATGGCTGGTGCAATTCTGGGTTGTTGTTGTTGTTGTGTGCTGTTGAGACGGTTCCGATGCATAGCGACCCTGTACAGGGTTTCCGAGTCTGTAAATCTTTATGGGAGCAGAATGCCTCATCTTTCTCCTGCGGAGTGGCTGGTAGTTTCGAACTGCTGGCCTTTAGGTTCGCAGCCAGATTCGTAACCACTACGCTACCAGAGCTCCTTGCAGGTCTAGGTAGCATTTCATTTTATTATGCATAGTGTCACTATGAGTCAGAACCAATTGGAAGGCACCTAATAACAACAAGCTAAACGAAAGCTCCCAGTGGTAATGTAGAAGATACTACTCCTATGAGGATTTTTTATTCTTCTTGTCTACTTACTAGTTTATTTCAACTCATAAGTGACCCTATAGAATGGAGTAGAACTGTCCCACTAGGTTTCATAGGCAGTGATCTTTACAAGAACAGATGACTGTGTCTTTTCTCCCATAGAACTATTAGTGGGTTTAAACTGCTGATCAGTTTAAACTGTTTGTGACTGTTTGTGAACAGTCAAGTGCTAAAACCAGCCAAGAAGTCCCTACTGAGCAGTTCTACTTTGTAATGTATAAGACTGCCATGAATTGGAACCCACTCAATGGCAACTAACAACAATAATCTTTACAGAAGCACAAAGCCAGACTTTTATTCAAGAAGTGGATTTAAATTGCCAAACTGTTCCTAGCCATGTGTATACCCTTTTGTACCACCTGGGACAGAGAGCTACCCTTTGCTGCGGTTGTAAGGTGTCATGAAGTTGATTCTATCTCACTGAGACCCTGTATAGAGTTTCTGCAAAGTCATTTGAACTGCAAGGTCTGTGGTTCAAGCTCACCAGCTGCTCCTTGGAA